ACAAACATTTGCAGCAATGTAAAACGAATACAAAACACGCCACGCAACGCCGCATGTCGTATACGTACGGTCTCAGAGTTAGATTACCTATGATCTGTCGGTCAATGAGACATAGTATATGTATTTGTATTGTATCGGAATAGGTGAACTTAATCACTATGACACTTTATCATCAAGTAATTTTCACGTTTTGAAGAGCGAATCTATCCAATAAACTTACAAACAAGTGCATGTTTCTCGGTCGGTCGAAAGGTATAGGTAGCCTTCAAACGAGTCAAGTAATCAAGTTTCCCTCAATTCCTAGATTGCTATTACCTTTCCTCTTGCTCTTAATTACAAATTACACTTTTGAATGATCATAATACCGACTTTCTATCTCACTTATAAGGGCAAGCTCAAACTGGTCAATGTCTTAACACGGTATACCGTCATCGTTTCGCCTACATACTTATATCTAGTACCTTGAATATTCATAAATGGTCTCAGTGTCGTAAGTATGAATAGTTGTTTCAACTAGTTGGCCATCGTTTGTTTTAGCTGCCTTGTTGATAGAAATTAAAAATAGACAAGGATGTCCCAATATTGCAACCGCACTGATTTGGCGGACAGCCGGCTTGTAGCGTTTCGTGTACGCCTCGAAAAGCCAGATCTCAGACCAGGTAGGTAAGGTACCGCGGCCGGGGCCGGGAGAAGGAACGGGATAGTAAGGATCTGACACTCCGTGTCATCATCATCTGAGTCACAATGTCAAAGACATAAAAAAGTAATTCGGCGATAAATACTATGCTCTGTAAATCTACATGTCTAGCCTCAGGGAGGTTTTTTCTGTTCATGTAACATCGAAATTAGTTTTTAATTCAGAACACGTAGAATTATCTTTAGCTTTTTCTTAATACATTCAATTTTGTAAATTACATTTTACAGCTTTCAGCTTACGTAGAATAATCTAAACTTTGCTTTTTCTTAAATCTCCATCTATCTACGATCCATCTTATTATATTAGTTACTTTATCTTACAATATACCTAGCTAATTAGTTTGATCATGTTTAATTTGAAACGTTTGACGATCTTGACCCAAATAAAACCACATTTCTCACATGATCCATTAATGTTTTGACAAAGATCTGTATCTTTTTCTAACCGCATTCTCACGATGCATACAATATGCAGTATTCATTAGCAACTGTCATATAATTTCATATTGCATTATGATATTTGACGCAATCTATTGACCAAACGTATCTTGTCCTAGACCCCTCGGAAATGTGCACAACTTGCATAATTTCAAAAGATCTCATTTATAATAAAGTAAAAGAGTACAATTATAATAAGATTTATTATAATTGTACTCTTTTACTTTATGAAGAAACTTTTAAGTTCAAGTTTTTTCAAGTTGACTTGAATTGCGAAATGTTTGTCAATCAATGCGAAATGACATTTCTTTCGAAATTACGGGAGTTATGGATTGCTGTGGCTTTAGAAATAGTTGGAGAACTGCTAATGTTTGCCAAGGTCGAGTGTGTTTGCGATGTTATGATAATCGAGGGCTCGCGTTATATCGTACATAGGTTAAGTACTTTATGAATTCGATTTTCAAATTCATATTGTTTTTTTTATGTAACATGCTTTGCAAAACATCCTTACCAATCACCCTATTCATCAAACATTCCAAATTTAAAACAGACTAGAAGAAGTGTTGAATGTAATTTTGAGTTGTAAGTATTTTAGTTTGATTTTAATAAAGTTTTAATTATATTATATTTTTGTTTTGAATAGTATTAATTTATCGTCAGTTTAATTTTCAATTAATATAAGGGTAATGAATACAGTTTTTTAGTAACAGACAGACTACAATTTTTGTTACCTTAAAGTAAATTTATTCATTATCTTTAATAACCTTAATAATATAATTAGTCTCGCCTATATGCACCAGTAGTTAAAACGTGACATTGACGAGTCATGCAGTGTGACAATATCTTTACAGTGTATTTTTTACTTTAACATTATTCAATCTAATAAATTTCTTAAGGTCAACTTAACGTATTGTATTGTTTTTCAATAAACTTAGATTGTTTTTTTTAAACTAGCAGTGCCTGGATGTTAAACCATTGATATGTCCATCGGGGACAGTGTACCTTCCCAAATTATTAAAAAAAAAACATTTATTTTCTCTTTATTTGTAAAGACTAGCTCCTGCTTAGCACGGGTATTCAACTATATTCCACGTACGCACGGGTATTCCTCATCAATATCGAATGACTAACCACTACAAACTATGACGACTAACGGTCGCCACATCCCGAATTAACTCTGCATTTATCTAAAAATTCTGACACAAACACGACAAAAAGAGTTATGCTCACTAACACATTTTGCTATAAAATTGTACATGTACATATTTCCTTTTTTATTTTTGTATAGATATCCAATTGATATCAATCGAATATCAAAACATGCCAAAAATCAACTTTGGCTTTCACTGAAAAGCAGCGCTGGGATTCTGTCTCGAATTGAGCAACAACTTGTTGAATTAGGATCTGCTTTTTTATGACTTCTGTTTAATTTTTTTAATATCAACACTTTTTTTCTGTATTTTCCTTTCTTAGTGTTTGTCTCAGCGTCTCTACTTAAATAAACTACGTAAATATTTTTTCTTTTTTTCTTTGTTTGAAAGTCAAACTAATTTATGATTTGGTACCAATTCCTACGATATCTTTTTGAGGCCATTTAGGTAGACTTTTGTGCACGTTCTGTTCAAACGAAGACCAATTACCTATATCGATTCAATGAAGACACGGCCAGCAAAACCTAAAAATTAAGGTTACCTAACACTTAAAAACTCCCACGTGAAGAAATCCTTGACACTAACTCCACGAAAAAGACAAATAGTCATTCAATATCCGATTAGCAAGATCCATTGTTTCTGATTGTTAGAACTATAGTTAAAAAGCTCAAATTGTTTCGTTACATTACGGCACGAGTTGTAACCGTGTCTAATCTTCCATCCAAATGGTCCAGTGTTCTACATTTTTGTATGGTCGGATGTGAAATCTATTTTGAAAGAACTCAAGATGTATTTTCCTTGTTAAAATGCAAAAGTAGGCTCATTTTTAATACTCAAAGCATTATTTGTGCTATGACAAAAACCAATTGATCAACTAACTGGAATTTGAATACGATTCTCAACCACAAGCTGATAAAATATCCTTAATAAGAACGAAGGCACTAGCAAGTTTCTGCCAGCTACTGTTTAGGAGTTCATTAGAGATTAATGATTAAGAAGATAGCAATAATAACCACAAAAACTAAGAATATATCAATATCCAGCACATTCTTTCACGAACTCGGGACGACCTCCTTTTAATAAAGAGGTCGTCAAAAGATTTAGATTATCAAATAAATGTATGCGTGCTCGACAAACCATATGCGTCATGCTTTCTACCGAACTAATGAAATTGTGAAAGTTAAACGAAACCATTTTAAGAATTTCTTTGTTTCGACTGATTGTAGATGATAATCTTTTATTAGGTACCTACCTACTTCTTTGGTCAGGATAGTGCTATAAAAATTAATACGAAACGTTAAATCGAAAATGCGAATTTTTTTCAAAAAAATCATGCAAACGCAATCATTGAACATTAGTTAATACAGAGAGAACCCGTTAAGCTTAATGAAAAATAGACTATTCCCTTATAGGCCTAATTCCCTGTATTGCAGTCTCTAGTCAGTAGAAATGTTAGTAACTCAGCGAATGAACAATAGAGCCATGACGCATGACGCTTTTCCATCACAATTGTGGGTGCCAAGTGAAAGTGTTCCCATGTGTAACAAGTAAACATACTCGTATACTCGTAACTACTCATAGATAGTGTGTGTAATTTCGACTATTGGATCGTTTGTACACGATTTACCAACTAATTATTCTAAAATTCAATCCTTAAATTGTGGGAGTGCCTTCGGTATGAATGGGTGGGCTCGACCGGAGTGGTACCACGACCTCACAGAAAATCGGTGTAAAGCAACATTGACGTTGGGTTTTACGTCACTGGAGGCCCAATCTTTGCCCCTCCTCATCCTCAATCCTCGAATCCCCTATCCTTAAATCCTCAATAACTTGCAAGAGTCCGGCAACGCACACGTAGTCAGTAACTCCTTTGGTATTGCGAGTGTCTTTGGGCGGGGTTGATTGAGATATTTGACCTAGGAAGTTGTCATGGTGGCTGTAGGTTAAGGAGCCCGCTTCTCATGCATGAGAGTGTGGGTTCGAAACCTGGCAAGTACCAATGTGATTTTTCCCGAGTTATATGTACTTTCTATGATTATTTAGACACCACTGACATACGTTGAAGGTAAACATCGTGAGGAAACCTGGACTTATAATTTCTAATTGTAAGTTTGAAATCGCCAACCCGCATTGAGCAAGCGTGGTGATTAATGCTTAAACCTTCTCCGTGTGAGAAGAGGCCTTTGCTCAGCAGTGGGCACTCATAGGCTGATGATGACCTAGGAAGTTGGTAACAAATTATTTTAAAGTTAATGTTACTTATTAGAACAGGTTTTTCTTCATCGTGTAAGTAGTTCTGATGCTTAACATGGTCTGGTGGCGTTTGCGTATTCTAAAACATTCTGTAAAAATGTTTTTTCATTTGAAAAATCTACGCCCGGCAGGAAAAAATTAAGGTGTTTTTAGTTAGTGAGGATTTGAATCAGTCGGACGGGAGAACGCATTTGGTACAAATTTTACCACCTCGAAAAGGTATTTTTATTGTTGTACCAGGAACTAAAGACGTAACAGGCAACTTTGATGACGCATCGAGGGACCCGTGTTGTGCTACAAAGTTACATATACCAACATTCATTTTACATGCAATCATGAATTATAAAAAACAGACTGAGTGCATTTTCTATTGGTACATTGAGCCCATATGAAAGTATAAAATCATTATGAAGAGCTTAAGTACCTCTTCTTCTAATATTTTATCACTTTTTCTGTTTCTAGGAGTCACGATGCCGCAACCCTCCGACAGCGCCACAGAAGATAGAGCGGGTTATAACTCTGTGTCAGGATGAAATCAAACTGTCCATACTCAGAGGTAAGACATTTATACACTACTAGGTTTTGCTTACGACTTTGTTCGCGTGGAATAGTGACCTCCTGCAGATTTTTGGTTAAAAACTATCCTATGTCCTTTCTCGAGTTCCAAACTATGTCTGTACCAAATTTCACATAAAAAGGTTCAGTAGTTTAGGCGTGAAGAAAAGGCAGGCAGACAATATTAGTTTGGATTTATTTTAGGACAATATTAATAAGTATAGGTAAATATAACATAATCCTAAATGCTATTCAAGGAAAATACTAGACTATAAAGCAATTAAAATATCTAACGACAAAACTGCATCTAAATGTCAAAGTTAGACTATAAAGTCGCTGTAAAGCATACCTACATAATCATAGAACGTGACAATAATAGGAGGAAGTTTTCAAAGCTACATAACATAACATAGAAACAGACACAGACAGATCAATTGTTTTTAGTTAAATGTCACTATGCCAAAAGTGAAGCTACATTAGTTGCCTAAAAGCAATTTGAAATGACCTAAGCACAATTTGAGGTTATTTGGCATAACAACCAAGTGCATAGTCTGCGTGCACGATAAATATTTTTTATACTAACATGCACAATATGGTTCATCTGATCGTAAGCAATCACACACCGATGGACACCCGACACGACCCGATTTAAGGGTTGCAGGCATTTGAGGATTAATGTCACCTACATGCTTATTAATATAAAGGGAAACATCCTACAAAGTGACGTCACTGTGAGACCGAGGCATAACTCCAGTCGGGCCACCCCATTTGTGCTAAAGCATGGCACTCCCACACATAAACTAAATTAACTTTAACAGAGCAATTTACTTTGTTGTAACCAAAATATTTCTCACATTGTATTAAAACCTTGTAGCTCGTAATGCACTCGTAACATTTTTAAAGCTTCCACGTAATGCGAGTGAAGGGGATCCAGTAATCGTTACAACAAAGTTTATAAGGATGCGGGTTTTACAGATCCTCAACTTTGACCTATAGATACGAACCTACATATTGTTTACTTAGAAATAGAACAGGTAGATGATACACAATACAATACAAGAGAAATTCTTATTTTAAAAGCTGCAGGTTCAGATAAAATTGAATGTCAATAGTTTAAATTTGGGAAAGCAACTGAATAGAAAGAGAAGATTAGGGTGGTAGAGCTACAGGGCTGATGTTCAGCCGGGGTTGCGGGGTAAGCGCAAAAAAGGTGTTAGAAGGGCTTGTTGGGGTCGCAAGCGAGACTCTCCATATACTTAAGATCTTAATAGGACTGTAAGATTTGAGAAGCCAAATTTAAGCAAACGAATGATAAAACCAGAATAATAGTATCTGAATCTGTTTTAATTTCATAATTACCTATGTAGTCTACTTATCCACTTTCTTCTGTCTCAACATTCAACTTCCGATTGTACTAATGAAATAATTGACGTAATAAAAATTCATGCTTCCTTTGCATTCATGAACCGTTGTAGATTCAAGCTACTCGACTATCAAAACTCGATCAGTCGCGGTCACGCGTTGTCAAGGTCGCGTGCGCAGTGAAAGTAAACGCTCACTATACGTAACAAGACCAGACGAATACGACATATGATTTACTTTTAGATTTTATACGATTAATTAATTGTGAGGTTATGGTGGAGTAGAATTATACATGTGTCTAGTCAACCCTTGTGTTTCCACGGGTATCAGCCAAATAAGAGAGGCTAGGTAACAGCGCTCTCTGAATCGTCAGGTCTGTTTCTTTTAAAGTGTGGTTTTTAAATCAATTCTGTATATTACGGCAAATACCTCTTTTTATAGAAGATGCTAATAGTTCAAAAGACTCTCAGGGCTATACATGAAAACGTTTGTACATACCTACATATATTCGTAAGGACTATTAAAATAAATGAAATATGCATTAACAACTGTCAGATCCAAAAGGATCGTATTAATTATTTTAACCAAGTAATATAAACTTCAATTAACGTGTGCAGCTTTAATATTGGTAAAATGACCAGCCAGTTCAAAAGTTGTTTTGTGGATATAGGTACTTACGCTATATTTTCAGTTCAGCTTTTCTATCGAAAAAAAAAAAAATACTTTATCATAATTGCCTACTTTCTTGTACGAAATCTTTTATTATCAATTATGTTTGTGAATTTACGAACTTCAGTTTAGACAAAATTTTATTATATTTATTTATTAAAAAGATGGTAGTTTATCTAAGCCGACGTTTAACAAAATAAAATAGGTATACCTACATAAAAGTACCTATCCATGGTAAGTTAAGTAGTTAATTTAGTAAATAAGTCAAAGACAAAACAAAATACTTAGTTAAAATGTTGTATACCTATCTATCTATACATATGTATTGGAAAACAATAAGAAAGAAAAGCACTTTCTAGTACTGTGCTCCGTTCAAAACAACAATTTGAATGCTTCTTTGTACAAGTTAGAGAGCGAGTGGACTGCTAATGATTGCGTTCAATTTGTTACCAACTGATTATTCTAGTCTGCTAGCACATTGCATAGTTATTTGACCTCGGTTAATTATTGTAATGTTTCCATTTAGTAAGTCTTTTGTAGTTTCGGGTAAACATTTAGGCATGTTCTTCGCTTCGTTGGTTTTATGGTTGCAATACGATGTAATATGGTTTGCTAGTCCCACAAAGAGATAGAAGTATTTTAAAGAAAATACAGTTGGCAAACGAGCAGACGGATTACCTGATGTTAAGCAATCGGCGCCCCCCATGGAAACTCTTAATATCAAAGGAGTAATACAAGTAGTCCGTTACCGGCCTCTTGTGAGTTATAAAGGATTAGGACCCTCAATCCTCAAATTCCTTATGGATATGTTTAAGGATTGAGGATTGAGTTATATTTGAGGATTGAGGGTAGAGAGCGCGGAAGATGTCGGGTTATCTCGCTCACACTGCGTTACCCAACGTAAGAGTTGCTTCACGCCGGTTTTCTGTGAGACCTCGGTATAACCCGCTTGAGCTGGCCCCTCCGTGCCAAAGCATGGCCCTTCCACAGTAGGTATAAAAGTGTTTAAAAAAATATGTCCAGATAACTTAAAGTTGATATAAGTAGGATAACTTTGATATAATACATCCAATATGTTTTTGCAATATACTTAAGCTCATAGCGGAACTCAATTATTAAACCAATCAATTCGTGTCACTTCGATGAATTATTAATTTGCCTATTACGAAATCGATCTACTTTGTATTTTAATAGACAATAAATATTATAATATACGAATTGGTACATAATATTAATGTTAACATTTGAAATAGATCAAATAAATTAGTAAAATTGGTGACCTCATCTTGAATTATCGTACATATGTACCTAGTCTTAAAGGTTATATTTTCAAGACCAAATTAAATGCAGGTACAAGGAACTGTTCTGAAAACCTTGATATTTATATCAATGTGCAATTATTGGACTGATAGTCGTGTGCACTTAGGTTTTTATGAAGTACACAACTAGGAAACCTATGAAATCATATAATGAATACTTATTAGACAATGCTTAGCAACTAACTAATTTAATTAAATAAAAAATTTTAGCTTGCAGTTAAATACAAAGATCGTGCAAAATCAATTACAATTTACAAGGTTTGCACACGAAAGGTTCTTTAAAATTAAACTCTTATAAAATGGAAGGCTTCTTTAAGAAGTCTTTTTTAAGACAAAAAGTATAGTAGTTTTGTTATAACTTACTTATTTTTTTAAATCTGACAGCGAGCAAGAAAAAGCAATACAAAAAATAAAAAATATAAACAATCATATAATGAAGTCTGTATTATCCGTGACAAATGTAAAACCATTGTTTTGACAAAGTAAAACAGGGCTAATACCCCATAAAATTGAGGTTAAGTTGCTTAACGGTAAATCATTGAAATCTTCAAACTTGCATACATGTAGCGTCCTAGATGCATATTGACTAGTATTATTGCAATAACAAACACGTGAATTTGTTTGTGCAGTAACGTAGAAATTGTGCGCTAAACATTTTACGATATTATAATACAGAAGATTATGTATGTAGATTTAATAATTATGGATTTTTTTAGGGATAGGTTGGCAAACGAACAGACGGATTACTACGGTAAGTTAGTAACGCCCGCCTCCTATGAACATCTAAAATCCTATAGGACACATGAACGTTGCGGCTCTTTCTGGTTGATTCAAGGATTGGGAGTTCCGGGATGGGGAAGGATTGCGCCTTCGATGACCTCACTCACTAGGCGAAATATAATGCTTGCATTGTTTGACGTCACTGCCAGGCCGTCGTATCAGAGCGTGGCTCGCCCACACTTAAAATCTTTAGCTACTCAAGTTGTACTGACATCGTCGCCATATTGTAAATGGTTTTAGTATTAAGTCTTCAGTCATACACTGGGTATAATGGCTAATGTTTTACTCGATTGTCATTTAATATTTCAGTTAAATGGCTTTTGCCATGCATTAATTTTGATGCCCATACTGGGTGTCATTTAACCAAAGCAAAAGTTTTCCATAAAATATCGTTGCTAAGGAGCTCTTAAGTACCTAATCATTAAAAATCTCAGAGTACGGAAGACTATAAGTAAATTAAAACACCTTAACTTTTTGTACTCTTATAGAAGAACGAAAATGCTTGCCAAATATTCATTAAATACAAAACTTGAATTCTACCATTTAGTTTGTAAGACAAAATTGTGTAGGCACGTCACCAGCCACATAAGGAAGGTTGGAACCTATAACTGTATACCCTGAGATCATATTCTGACTCATGGTCTGTATTCTTAACGAAAAACGGCTATACTTTACAAATAATCACCAACTTTATGACATATTATATACCAGACAGCTGCATCTGCTTTCCGAAAAGATACCTTATTTACTTGGAAATACAGGTATAAATCATATTCGTATGTTAAATATGAAGTTTTAAAATCACCTGAACTAATACTTGAAGTGGTTTCTGAGATGAACAATAAGCTCTTCAAGAGCACAAGGAGTGTGA